TCAACTTAACATTGATAGTCCTAATAAATATATGCTAAACTTTAAAATTATCTAGCTTATTATACATATTAATATATTTATAACAGCTAACAATAGTATATTTTGGCCTAATATCTGACAATACAGCCTTTAACTATTAAAATCAATTTTGGTCTTATATTCTCAATATACTATCTTCAAAAAGCAACTTAGAAAACTTAATATTCTATATCTTAAGCAGTTCTGCACTGCAATAATACTAATTTACTTTAGTAGAACCACCTTTATCTCACTTGATACAAGTTTTTAAAGAATGCAAACCAACTTGGTTTACTTATTTAGAAAATACTATAATCACTAACAACAGTTTCATAATACTTTTTTTACACTATTAACATTCTAAATATAATCATTTTGTTACAATTCTAAATACATCTTTAAAAAACTTAAGTTCTAGTTACTTATATACAATAATAATAATATTATTATTAGTAAAATTCATAGATATTTTAAAAATAATAATCAAATGTCTATTACATATTGGAAAACTAATATTAATACAGGACTTACTACTCACTACCTTTTTCTATCAATTTGATGCTATCTCAACTTTCATAAAGTTGTAAATCTTTGCATAATTAATATATTATTAATAATTTCTACTTAATTTCTTAAAAGAGTTTCTTCTAATTCACTTAACTTTAATGCAAACTTCATTGATTAGATTTATTCAACTGCAATTAAGTATTCTTTATTCTTACTTTCTGCTTCTACTATTTATATTTCTGATTTTTCTATATTAGAAATTTTCAAGCAGAGTAAAGCTACAAATATACTTAACAATATTTTCTTATTAAATCAATTTAATATATTGATACAGAAGTATATAGTTGGGAATGAGATTCTTAGAATAAGAAGAAATGTGATGAATTGTTGCTTTGAATTCATTGACATTGTATAACATTGCTCTAAGCAGGTAAGGCAGATTTGATTTGACACTGGTCAAAGGCAGCCTTGAGAGCATCATAGCTAAAAAAAATATAGATTTATTATATTTATTTGTTTTATTTAAAATTAATAACTAGAACTTTATTAATTAAATAATTTATTTTTATTTATAGAATAGATTACAAGTTAAAAGTGATTTGAGTTACAAGAAAATAAAAAAATTATTGTCGCGGCTGATGCTGGAAACGGCTGATGCTAGAAAACACATGATAAATGATGATCATCTGCAATTGTCGAATTCGATTACGTCAGTCATCTACTATCATCAAATGAGATGTGTCATAATACCGTCAACTAAGGTGTGTTATGATTTCAAAGAGTTGCCGATTTTTCCATAGTACACTGCATGCAAAACATGAGATCTCTATTATATATGCTTGAAATTTTTAAAATTTTCTTTCTTGTGACACAGACCCGTAATGGTACAATGAACCCGGGTCTTTTGTAAGTTTTTTTTTGGGTGGATTGTATTGTACACCGGGTACTTTGGTCAGTGCACTACAGTAAGTGGTCTTTAGTTTTTATGAACTCTTGAATTTTAAAAGAATCACGAAGACTACCGATCTTTTGTTTCGCTAAAAGATTAGCAGTATGAGTTTGTCTATTAGCTTTGTGGCCCTTTAGTTTTCAACTGATTACAGGGAACCGAGAAATTGTGCCCAAGTTAAAAATGGATTATTATTTTGTTCGTGACTCTTTTAATTTTCTTTATTGTAATATTGAACTTATTAGAGGATCTGAATGCGCTGACATTCTGTACCCAAGTTTTTTTTTTTTTTAAAAAAAAAAATAGTAACGAGCTATTAGATTTGTGGATTAGTTTTCTTTATTGTGATCTAATTTGAACTTATTACAAGGGCCTGAATATGCAGAGATACTGTGTCGAGTTTTTTTTTTTGAAACAAAAAAAAAGGTTAGCAATTTGTTACTAGTTCTTTTAGGTTTCTCATTGTGATTTTATTTGAACTTGTTACAGAAACCTGAATGCGCCGAGATTCTGTGCTCAAGCCTTTTTTTTTAAACCAAAAAAAAGGGTAGTAACTTGTTATTATATTTGTAGTTCTTTTGGTTTTCTTTATTGTGACCTTGAACTTACCATATTACAGGAACCCGAATGCGCAGAGATTCGTGCCCTTTTTTTTTCAAAAACAGAAAAAAGGTTAGTAATTTGCTATTAGTTTCGTAATTCTTTTAGCTTTCTTTATTGTAATTCTACTTGAACTTATTACAGGAATCTGAATGCGCCGAGATTCTAAGTCCCAAGAACTTTTTTTTTAAAAAAAAGGTTAGCAATTTGTTACTAGTTTCGTAGTTCTTTTGGTTTTCTTATTACGATCTTACTTGAGCTTATTACAGGAACCTGAATGCGCTGAATTCTGAGCCCCAAAAATTTTTTTTTTTTTAAAAAAACAAAGTTAACTAGTTTCGTGGTTCTTTTGGTTTTCCTATTACGATCTTACTTGAACTTATTACAGGAACCTGAATGCGCCGAGATTCTGAGCCTCAAGAATTTTTTTTTTTAATAAAAAAAAAAGGTTATTAATTTGTTACTAGTTTCGTGGTTCTGTTAGTTTTCTTCTTACGATCTTACTTGAACTTATTACAGGAACCTGAATGTGCCGAGATTCTGAGTCTCAAGAATTTTTTTTTTTTTTAAAAAAAAAAAGTTAGTAATTTGTTACCGTAAATCACCATATACAAGACCTCTCATGATAGTAGATCCACCATGTAGTAGACCCAGTTGCGAATCATGAGATTTATATTAATCAAGCCCGGTTTTTTTCAGATATCTAGACTGCCTATTATAAATGCAAAATGTGCATACTCTTCAAAGTTTTTCTTTTAATGACATAAACTCTTTTAAAATTGGTGGAATGTAAAAGACCCAGGTCTTGTATATGGCGATTTACAGTACTAGTTTCATGGTTCTTTTGGTTTTCTCATTATTATCTTGAATTTATTACAGGGACCTGAATGCTCCAAGATTTCGAGTTCCATGAATTTTTTTTTTTTTTTAAAAAAAAAAGTTAGTAATTTGTTACTAGTTTCGTGGTTCTTTTAGTTTTCTCATTACGATCTTACTTGAACTTATTATAGGAACCTGAATGCTCCAAGATTTTTTTTTTTTTTTAAAAAAAAACAAAAAGGTTAGTAATTTGTTACTAGTTTCGTGGTTGTTTTGGTTTTCTCATTATAATCTTACTTGAGCTTATTACAGGAACCTGAATGCACCGATTTCTGAACTCCAAGAATTTTTTTTTTTAAAAAAAAAAAAGTTAGTAATTTGTTACTAGTTTCGTGGTTGTTTTGGTTTTCTCATTATGATCTTATTTGAGCTTATTACAGGAACCTGAATGTGCCAAGATTTTGAGCTCCATGAATTTTTTTTTTTTAATAAAAAAAAAAAGTTAGTAATTCTCTATTAGTTTCGTGATTCTTTTAGTTTTTTTTATTGTAATTCTACTTAACTTATTACAGGAACTTGAATGCGCCGAGATTCTGAGCCCCAAGAATTTTTTTTTTTAAAAAAAAGGTTAGTAATTTGTTACTTTTCTTATTACGAATGTGCCAAGATTCTGAGCTTTTAATTTTCTCATTTTGATTTTACTTGAACTCATTACAGGAACCTGAATGCGCCACGATTCTGAATTAAGAAAAAAAAATAGTACAGTCAGACCCTTCTAAATGCAACCTCCTAAATGCACACCTTATGAAACGACATTCTAAATGCATGTCTTCGCTTGGGCCCAACTAATATAAAACTTATAGATATTTACCTCCCTAAATGCAATATCTCTTTAAATGCATGTTTGACTAAATTTTTACATATGGTCCCGTCACAATGCACTTAGAGAGGTCTGACTATAGCTTTTCATTAGGGTTTTTTGGTTGTTTTTGACTCTTTTTTTTTTTTTATTGCGTTCTTATTTTGCTTGAGCTTATTACAGGCACATGAATAGTTGTGTTGTTAATTTGAACCTATTGTGGCATCGAGATTCTATTCAAAAAAAAGGTTAATCTATTAGTTTCATGGTTCTTTTAGTTTTCATTATTGTTTTACTCTGAACTTATTACAGAAAACCCAAATGCGCTATGATTCTAGCCCCGATTTAAAAAGTCAATGTGATATTACTTAGTTTCATGATTTTTTTAATTTTTATTAGCGCCAAAATTTACTGATTTATGTACCCCAAAGAAATTCGGAATTTTTTTTATTTTAATAAAAAAAAAGCATTAACATTTATATAAAATTTATATAGTGTTTGGAAAAATTACATTTAAATTTTAAAATAAAAAAAATTAAAATCTTTTTTTCATATATAGTTTAGCAAATGCAATGTAGCAATATAGAGTTCCAGAAGCAAATTCTGGCCACGATCTATTGCATATTTGTATTGCAAGTTTATCATCAAATTGATGACCATCAAAAGGTCTTCATACAGTCGACTTTAAAAAAAAACAAAAAAAAAAGGAAAAAAAATTTAAAATCCTTTTTTTTAAAAAAAAAAAATCCCAAAATTTTTTTTTTAAAGAAAAAAAAATCCAAAAAAAAATTTTTTTTAAAGAAAAAAAAATCCAAAAAATTTTTTTTTTAAAGAAAAAAAAATCCCAAAAATTTTTTTTTTAAAGAAAAAAAAATCCAAAAATTTTTTTTTTTAAAAAAAAAAAAATTATGATTTTACAACTTTGATTCGTTTAATTGGAACAGGCGTTTCCTTTCCATCAATCTCAACAATCGCCGTGTGATTATTCGAAATTAGTCTTATGAAAGTGCCTTGTTGCGAAAATGTTGGCTGTAGTTTTCTTTTTCTGGTTTGTAGGTTGGTGTCATGGTCTGGTGCAATATTAACTATGGTTCCGGCCTCAATTGTATTATTTGCTGTTTTTTTTCTATGAACGCTTCCTTGTTGACACATTTTTGTGTAGTATTTTCCTAGCGTAATATTTACCTCCTATAAAAAAAAAAAAAAAAAAAAAATTTAAAATCTAAATTCAGTATTATACTGCTTACTCTAGCTAACCTCATGAATTTTTGACACTCGTAAAACATGTTGTTCTATAACGTTATTAGGAGTAAATGTTTCCGAAGCATCTCTGTTTGATTCTTCACTCATTTCATCATCCTTATTATTATCTGGTGTTTCATTATCATAATCATTATCGTGTGCTTCGTAAACACTCATTTTGTTATCCTGATCATTATCTGATATTTCGTAAACACTCATTTCATTATCCTGATCCTTATTTGGTGTTTCATCTGGTGTTTCGTAGACACAATGCATTTTCCAACCAAACATAACTTCATGAGGTGTGCGATTATATGCAGTATGTACAGTTGAATTATAAGACATTATGAAAGCATCTAATACATTAATCCAATCTTTTTTTTGAAGCTGATTATTATGATCCCACAGCAATTTTGTGAAACCTCAACCAACTGTCTGGTTAAGGCGTTCTACCTTTTCTTGGGACTGGGGGTAGTGGGGGCGGCCATGTTTAATTCTGATATTGAGAGTTTCACAAACTTGCTTAACGATCTCTTCAAACTCTTTTCCGTTATCACTTTATAAAACTAATGGTAGACCGAGAATTCTAAAAACGTCCTTAACCAAATGCACTGCAACTGTACCTGCTTCTTTGTTTTTCATAGGAATTGCAACAAGATATTTTGAAAATGTACCAACATATGTTTGTAACCATGCAAACCCGTAATTTACATTTTTAAAATCATGAAAATCAATTAAATCGATTTGGATGTGCCGCCATGGTGCCACGAACATAACCGATTTCATATTGGTTCATTCTTTAATAGAAGAATTAATGGCGCAAACTGAACATTCGTTAACGTAAGCCTGAACTTCAGTTTGCGTAACACCAATATGTTTTTCAGAAAGGGCAGAAAATGTTTTATGATAATTTCGATGATTTGACTGGTCATGAAAGTTTTTTAGTAATAAAACATGCAACTCTACATCGTATTTAGGAATTACACACTGTCTATCCGATACGATTTCACCATTTTTAAAAACAGCAGAAAGGTAAAGAATCTTATTTTCATCTAGTTTAAACTTTTTACAACGACCTTCAAATTTACATTTTGCCACGGGATCATAGATGGTTTCAGGTATTTTTTTGATTTAAGATAATCAACTATATCCTTGTATTCGGTTGGTGTTCCGAGAAGTTTTGGAATTGCCGGCATAGTTAGAGTTAAAAAAAAATACCGGTAACGCCATTTAATTTATACTATGATCACATGCAAAAAAATACACAAATCACATTAGAGGGTTGGCTTTAGTAAACACGTGACGCATATTAGGGTTAGCAAAACACGTGGCACATAGTAGGGTTAGGGTGGATTTACTTATTTGTGCCGGTAATACAATCCAAGAAAGGAAATTTGATTTTATAAATAAACAAAGTGCATAAAGCACGTATTTAGAGTTGGAACATTAACATTAGAGGCTATAGCAATAGACTATCATTCATTATATGTAAAATTTCATTTCTGACATTTTTAATTAGTACACCAAGGCTGGTTTAAACACTAGTTTTTGATTTTTTCACTTTTTCTTCTTTTACATGCATTTGGAATTCATGTCGGGCTGATCCGGAACGATCAAAATTTGAATTCACTGATTGGCTATTTCCTTTTTAGGAGTTTGTATTACTGGCACAAATAAGTAAAGCCGGGTTAGAGTTAGGATTAATGTATATTAGAACCAGTAAATTACATGACGCTCTGCCCTGTGGCATATTTTCTCGGCACATTCAAATTTTTTAACTACTAAAACTAACCATTTTTTTCAGAATTCAAGGTATTCAGGTTCCTATAATGAACACAAAGAAAACATTATGAAACTAATAAAAAAATTACTAGCTTTTTTTGAAAAAAAAAGCTTGGCATAAAACCTCTGTGCATTCAGGTACCTGTAGTAAGTTTAAATGAGAATACAATAAAGAAAATTAAAGGAACTACAAATCTAATAGCAAATTACCTTTTTTTTTTTAAATAACTCGGGGCACAGAATTTTCACATACTCAGGTTCCTGCAATTAAGTTCAAGTAAGAGGTAATGAGAAAACAAAAGAATCACGAAACTAGTAACAATTTACTAACTTTTTTTTTTAAAGAAAAAAATTTTTGGCTCAGAATCTTGGCGTTCAGGTTTCTGTAATAAGTTTAAATAGAATTACAATCAAGAAAACTAAACGCATCATGAAACTAATAGCGAATTACTAGCCTTTTTTTGTTTTTGAAAAAAAGACTTGAACACAGAATCCCAGCGCATTCAGGTTTCTGTAATAAGTTCAATATCATAATGAGAACGCGAAACTAGTAACAAATTACTAACTTTTTTTTTTTAAAAAAAAGAAAGTTCTCGGAGCTCAGAATACAGCGCATTCAGGTTTCTATAATAAGTTTAAGTAGAATTAAATAAAGAAAACTAAAAGAATTACGAACTAATAGTGAATTACTAGCTTTTTTTTTATTTTTAAAAAAAAAATTTGAGTACAGAATCTCGGCGCATTCAGGTTCCTGTAATAAACTCGAGTAAGATCATAATGAGAAATTAAAAAACTATGAAACTAGTAACAAATTAGGCCAAACCAATTTAATTCAGTGGTTTACATTACATCCTTTTTGCAAAAGAGAGGGAACAAAAATGGAATTTATTATAAAAATTTTCTCTGAAATAATCTGTAATATTATAAAAAGTTTCCAGAATTTTCCGACATAAAGTAAAGGGAGAATATTGGAGAGGGGGGGGTAATGTAAACCACTGAATTAAGTTGGTCTGGCCTTACTAACCTTTTTTTTTTAAAAAAAAAAATTCTTGGCTCAGAATCTTGGCGCATTCAGATTCCTGTAATAAGTTCAAGTAAAATTAAATAAAGAAAACTGAAACTAATAGTGAATTACAAACCTTTTTTTTTTGTTTTTGAAAAAAGACTTGAGCACATAATCTTGGTGCATTCGGGTTTCTGTAATAAGTTCAAGTAAGATCATAATGAAAAAACTAAAAAAGAACCACGAAACTAGTAAATTACCGACTTTTTTTTTTAAAAAAAAAAAGTTCTTGGGGCTCAGAATCTCGATGCATTCAGGTTCCTGTAATAGGTTCAAGTAGAATTATAATAAAGAAAACCAAAAGAATCACGAAATTAATAGCGAATTACTAGCCTTTTTTTGTCCTTAAAAAAAAGACATCTCGGCGCATTCAGGTTCCTGTAGTAAGATCGTAATAAGAAAACTAAAAGAACCACGAAACTACTAACTTTTTTTTTTAAAACAAAAAAATTCTTGCAGCTCAAAATCTCAAAGCATTCAGGTTTCTGTAATACGTTCAAATAAGATCGTAATAAGAAAACTAAAAGAACCACGAAACTAGTAACAAATTACTAACTTTTTTTAAAAAAAAAATTCATGGGGCTCAGAATTCGGTGCATTTAGGTTCCAGTAATAAGTTCAATATCGTAATGAGAAAACTAAAAGGACCACGAAACTAGTAACAAATAACTAACTTTTTTTTTAAAAAAAAAAGTTCTTGGGGCTCAGAATCTCGGTGCATTCAGGTTCTTGTAATAAGTTCAAGTAGGATTACAATAAAGAAAACTAAAAGAATCACGAAATTAATAGCGAATTACTAGCCTTTTTTTGCTTTTGAAAAAAAACTTGAGCGCAGAATCTTGGCACATTCAGGTTCCTGCAATAAGTTCAAGATCGTAATGAGAAAACTAAAAGAACCGCAAAACTAGTGACAAATTACTAACCTTTTTTTCTTTTAAAAAAATTCTTGGGGCTTAGAATTTCAGCGCATTCAGGTTCCTGTAATAAGTTCAAGTAAGATTGTAATGAGAAAATAAAAGAACCATGAAACTAGTAACAAATTACTAACCTTTTTTTTTTTAAAAAAAAATTCTTGGGACTCAGAATCTCAGCGCATTCAGGTTCTGTAATAAGTTCCAGTAAAATCATAATGAGAATACTAAAAGAACCAAGAAACTAGTAACAAATTACTAACCTTTTTTTTTTAAAAAAAAATTCTTGGGGCTCAGAATCTCGGCACATTAAGGCTCCTGTAATAAATTCAAAATCGTAATGAGAAAACTAAAAGAACTGTGAAACTAGTAACAGATTACTACCAATTTTTTTTAAAAAAAAAAAATTCTTGGGCTCAGAATTTTGGCACATTCAGGTTCCTGTAATAAGTTCAAGTAAGATCGTAATGAGAAAAGTAAAAGAACCACGAAACTAGCAACAAATTACTACCCTTTTTTTTTTAAAAAAAAGATTCTTGGGGCTCGGTAATAAGTTCAAGTAAGATCGTCATGAGAAAACAAAATATTGTAAATCACCATATAGAGTACCCCCTTGATAGTGTACCCCATTATAGACCCGGGTATATTGCAGGGTTAAAAATTTGGTGAAATGTAAGATAACCTGGGTACATTAGCTGGTGATTTATATGAAAGTTATCCAGAACAAGTAGAAATCCTCCAATTATTGTACCCTCTTTCCCTGCAATGTATCCTCCCGAGTATAGTATAGGTTTTTGATCAGTGAAATGTAATGTACCCGGGTGCTCTATATGGCAATTTACGGTAACCATGGAACTAGTAACAAATTACTACCTTTTTTTCGTTAAAAAAAAAATTCTTGGGGCTCAGAATTCGGCGCATTCAAGTTTCTGTAATTAAGTTCAGGTAAGATCGTAATGAGAAAACTAAAACAACCACGAAACTAGTAACAAATTACTAACCTTTTTTTTTTAAAAAAATAAAAAATTCTTGGAGCTCAGAATCTCAGTGCATTCAGGTTCCTGTAATAAGTTCAAGACCGTAATGAGAAAACTAAAAGAATCACGAAACTAGTAACAAATTACCTACCTTTTTTTTTTTTTTGTAAAAACCCCTGGCGCAGAATCTCTGCGTATTTAGGTTCCTGTAATAAGTTCAATTAAGATCACAATAAAGAAAACTACGAATCTAATAGCAAGTTACTAACCTTTTTTAAAAAAGTAACTCAGAGCACAGAATATTGGCATATTCAGGTTCCTGTAATAAGTTCAAGTAAGATCACAATAAAGAAAACTGAATCACGAAACTAATATCAAATTACTAACCTTTTTTTTTTAGAAAAAAATCCAGTCACAGAATCTCTGTGTTCAGGTTACTATAATAAGTTTAAGTAAGATCACAGTAAGAAAACTAAAAGAACTATGAAACTAATAGTAAATTACTATTTTCTTTAAAACCAAGTAGTACTGAAATCACGGCATATCGGGCTCTCTGTAATAAATTTAAGTCAATATAAAAATATTGAAAAGTATAGAGTAGTGAAAACTAATAGCAAAACTACTAGCCTTGTTTTTTTTTTCTTAAAACTTCGCATACTTGGATCTCTGTTATTTAGATAAAAAAAAAAAAAACTATGAAAATTAATAGCTAACTACTAATGTAAAGCACTAGGATTTCATTTTAAGTAGAATCGTGACAGTTGATAAACTACCAACCTTTTTATCCTTAAAATCGCTTGACACTTTCAAATATCGATCATTGAAAAGAAAGACTAGCAAGCCTAGTAATTTTTTGGATCATAAAGATTCGTAAAACTAAGAGAACCACATAGGCTCTAATCTTTTTAGGATGCTGCTCAATTAAGGAAATCTCTTTTTATATTATGACGCACATCATTTGACGATAGTAGATGACTGACGTAATCAAATTCAACAATTGCAGATGATCATCATTTATCATGTAATTTCCAGCATCAGCTGTGACAATTATTCTACTATATAATAGGAGTTCTACTATCTTCTACTAGAGAATGGAGAAACACTATTTTTATAGAACATTTTTAAGAAAAAAGAAGAGAACTTAGGACATGGCTTTGATACTCTTTTTTTTATTGTTATAGACTGTTTTTTTCTTTTTTACTAACACTTTTCTTTTTTTCTTTAACCTATTTATCATTACTTTATAATTTTTTTCATTATTCTACAACAATACACAACCTAGTATATAATGACACATTAATATAACTACAGACTTTATCTGTTAAGATAATATTATCTTAACAGTTGTATTCCAAATTAAGCAAGTGGCTTTTTCTTCAATAGATTAGTGCCATCACTTAATAAGATACTTGTTTGGTCTTGGGTCATAGGCATCATGGTATGTTAGTTTTTATGATGCAGAT